AAATGTTTTCATATATATGACCCGGTATTGTAAAAACCCCATGGGGGATAGGGTTCTGGGTGGACCGAAGTTACAAAAATTACCCACCTTCCAGTCACAGCATACTATAGAGTCATGTTAAAGCTCTACTGGTTGCCAGTCCACTTCCAGGCTAAATACAAAGTGCTGGTCATTACCCCTAACTGGTCCAGGCTATTTGTCTAACTGCATCTCCCTGTATAGGCCATCATCTGCACTGCAGTCTATATCGGAGGCCCTCCTCTCAGTCTCACCCCCGTCACAAGCTTGGTTGGTGGGAACGAGAGAGAGGACCTTCTCCGTGATCGCTCCCCATCTCTGGAACTCTCTCCCTAAAGAAATAAAAATGGACCCCACCCCCTCTTATTTAAGAAATTTCTTAAAACACATCTATTCACTTTAGTGTATGGAGAGGAGGAGTACTAGGACACTTTAAACATGCTGGTATTATACCCAGTTGTATTATATGGCTACTATGATCTTAAATGAAGCCTTTTTAATGTAATGTCTCTTAATTTGCTTTTAGGGTGTATATTGTAATGTTTACTTATGTTTTAGTTCTTCATGATTTATTTTTATTTCAATGCTTAATTCCTTCATTGCAAGTTTTCTGTTATTACTATCTATTATCTTGGATTGTTTTGGTGTGTTTGTACTCATTACAAGGCATTGGATGTTTGCCTTTTTATGTGCAACCCGCCCTGAGTCCCTCTTGGGAAAGATAGTGGTGCTTTCCTTCAGTGTAACGAATTAAATTCAGAAACTGCTCTGCACAGAATGACCATCTTCTTTAACTGTGCATTTGCATCAAGTGGCTAATCAAAAACACTAACCTCCCATGAGATGTAAGATTCTATGGACATGTAGATTATGAGTTGTATTTCCTATCCTTGGATGCGATGACATAGTTGGCACCATTGTAAGTTTTCCTTATGAGGACAAATCTTTTATTGGCAATCTTCACTGGATGCTTTCAAGGTAATCTGGAACAGATCAGAGTTGTTGTAGCCATTTTACAAGTCTTTTAAGTATCTCATTATGAACAAGACAATTAATTGGTGCAGTTATGTCTGCATCCAATTTGGACGGAATGGTGAAAATACAATCATTGGTTTCCTTTCTTCATACAACTTGGCTTTGCCACTGGACTTAATTTCCTAGACATGACATATTGTTCAAAATGTGCATTCGCAACAACCACCTTTGGGAAATAAGATTGCAAGGGAGTATAGAATTTGAATATGTTATACTCCAACAGCTGCAGGATTGGTGTATGCAGAATACTCGATTTTTTTCCCTGCTTCTCAGCCTTTTGTGGAATGGATGGGAAATCAATGGATTTGGTGAAATCAGATAAGTTGACAAATTGATTAAAAGAAAACTCTAGAAATGTATTTTAAAATCTGGCAACCTCTACTACTGGTATGTAAAAAGGAAAGAAGGAGATATTGTAAATATAAGTTTTAATATATAGAAATTATATAACATGTATAATTTAGCAAGTTGCTGTCTGAGAAAAACTGAAAGTCTATTTTAATGTGTGGCATAGATAGACATGATGTATAGTCAGAGGCGGCCCTAGGTAATTTTCAACTGTAAGCAAACAGTATTTTGCCCCCCCCCCCCAACCATATATATTTTCTGTTCATCGTTGGGAGTTCTGTGTGCCATATTTGGTTCAATTCCATCATTGGTGGAGTTCAGAATGCTCTTTGATTGTAGAACTATACATCCCAGTAACTACAACTCGCATATGTCAAGGTCTATTTTCCCCCAAGAGTGCCTCAAGAGCGCCCCTGGGCAAAATAAAAAGCGGGCCAGGCAAGGGAGCAAGTGCGGCAAGTGTAGTTACTGGGATGTATAGTTCATCTACAATCAGAGCATTCTGAACTCCACCAATGATGGAATTGAACCAAATATGGCACAAAGAACCCCCACGACGAACAGAAATATATATCAATGATTGGTTGGGGGGGGGCACCAAAATACTGTTTGCTTACCATTGAAAATTACCTAGGGCCGCCTCTGAATATATATATATACACACACACATACATACATACATACATACATACACGCATGCACATATTAAATATGAGGACTTGGGAGTCATTTATCATTGTTTCCTTTGCTTACACTTTACTTCTGTTCACTTATATAAAGTTAGTGAATTCCTGAGTCCATTCTTCAGTGTCCAAGAACATAGTTTGGCTCAGGAAGCTTACTACCATATGCAAAGCAAATTAAAGCTTTGCCAAGCCATCTGTTTTAAAGCACAAATTCTGCTGTCCCAAGTAAGAAATTCTCAAAAAATGGATGGAAAAATGAGACCTACATGATGGCAAATTCACAGCCCTAAATACAAATTTAGCTCTTGTTTACCACATCTTTTTCACTTGCTCGTGGTACAAATGTTCGGAGTGTTCCATTCTTCGAGAAAAATCAGGGCAGCCAGAAAGGATCAGATTCACTACCGTTCCTGAAACATGTAATGCTGATAAAATTCAATGAACTTTTCATGTAAACATTTTTTTATCTCCAAAATACATGGTGAACCCCCTCCCCCCCAAATATTACTTGGATTTGATACAAGTAAAATACATACATACATACATAGTCATAGTTAGAATTGTACTCCAATGTTTCTTATGTTGATTTAAAATTAAGTTCCTATGTGAGGTTGTAGAAAGAAGGATGCTGGGAAGACATGAATGATCCAGAACTATTTCATTTCCATGCGATGGGGAAGACAATCAGTTATTTGTACCAATCTTCTGTCTTGCCAGCATGAACCCACTTCTCCTGAACTACCATAAGCCATGATACTTATTTTCATTGAGATTACCCATAATGTGGTCATGCATTTGTAGTAAGTATGAAAGAATGAAATGGGAAAATACTATAATCTTAAAATTCCAGACAGTGGAATTCTCTACTCCTGGAGATTAGGCCAATCTCTTCCATACCCTCCACCAGTAAGTGAAACAGATATAATCCAGCTGCTCAGATGGCTGCAAAGCCTGCATATACTCTGGAGTTTCCTGCAAACTCCAGAATTTTCCCTGACTTTGCTTATTGCAGAGCAAAGTTGGGTTAAGGACTCAAAACTCCAGATATTTACCAGATGTCACTGTGTGTGCATCATGGAGACTGCCAATGTCAGTTTTCAGGTAAGTGTATGTTTTGTCTAGACACAATCTAAGGAAGGGGTCCTCAAACTATGGCCCGGGGGCTGGATACGGCCCTCCAAGGGCATTTACCTGGCCCTCGCTCAGGGTCAACCTAGGTCTGAAACAACCTGAAAGCACACAACTACAACAACTACAACAACAATCCTATCTCATCAGCCAAAAGCAGGCCCACACTTCCCATTGAAATACTAATAAGTTTATATTTGTTAAAATTTTTCTTCATTTAAACCACTGAGCTGCTAAGCTTGTTGACTGGAAGGTCACAGGTTCGAATCCGGGGAGCAGAGTGAGCTTCCGCTGTCAGCCCCAGCTTCTGCCAACCTAGCAGTTCGAAAACATGCAAATGTGAGTAGATCAATAGGGAAGGTAATGGTGCTCCATGCAGTCATGCCGGCCACATGACCTTGGAGGTGTCTATGGACAACGCCGGCTCTTTGGCTTAGAAATGGAGATGAGCACCAGAGTCCCAGAGTCGGAAATGACTGGACTTAATGTCAGGAGGAAAGCTTTACCTTTACCATATCGTTTTAAAGTGGGGTTTTTTTGCACTACAAATAAGATATGTGCAGTGTGCATAGGAATTCATTCACTTTTTTTTTTCAAATTATAATCCGACCCTCCAACAGTTTGAGGGACTGTGACCTGGCCCTCTGTTTAAAAAGTTTGAGGACCCCTAATTTAAGGCATCTTTTGATAGGAACACTGTGTTGCACTTTTATTGTTTTTTGTCTTAATTTTTACATGATTTCATATTGGTTTTAAAATACCGGTGGTTTAAAAATGGGATGTTAATTGTTCCTAATGATGCTCAAATCCCACTATACTACACCATTGTATATAATAAGACATGAGCATCCACAGATTTTGATATCTGCATGGACACCTGGAATCAAACCCCAGCGGATGCCAAGCTCCCTTTGAAGTTCAAAAGAAAGCTAGAATGGATTCAATGCTCAGCTGGCATCAGTCTACTTGGCTCCATCTATGAGTTGTTCTCTAGCATAATGAACTGTTGATAGCCAGGTAAAGGTTTTTTGTTTGTTTCTGTTTTCTCTCCATAGCTAAAGCTTGAAAAATTTTTCAGAAGATGAAGATGCCATTAACACTTGTTCTATTAATGATTGAGATATACACTTCATTGGCTCAGAAACCAGGTACACCAATATGTTCTTGCTTTGTAATTGTGAAATGTGAATCATAGATCAGCAAAATGCATATACTGAGGGGATACTTTGGATTTAATAGACCTTAAGCTCATATGTTCTGACAAAGGATTTTTTAAAAAGTCAGGATATGGTCATGGAAATTTCCTATGGATATTCACAGAATGCGAAATGTGTTGGCTTTTCAGCACTAGGTGAAGATGATTTTAAATTAGGCCAGTCTATCTGTTTGTCCACTTATTTGTATATCTATCTACCATATATATTCGTATATAAGTT